AACAAACTACTCAATTAACTCACATGCCTTCGTACTAGAGACTGCCCTCACGATCTCATTGAAAAATTTACCTTACAGGTTTAATTTCCTGAATGGAAGCCGGCTTTACTACAAAACAATAAAGTGTGAAAAAAAAATTCTGCCTTTTGTTCAGTTACAACGTACAACCCCGCCGTTGCCTCACCCCCAGAACACCTCTATGAGCAAGTGACATCTAGTTCAGCCTTTACAAAGAGAAACACATACAAAACGTCAACCCTTATCTCCTAAATATTCTTGTCCGGAGCTAAACTCTTTGATCACGTATCACACTCTACCGAGCTTAAACGTATGTGTTTGGCTTGTCAACATTTGGACTTTAACAGCGCCGATTGGTTCTTCAATAATCTGCACGTCAGCTCCAGCTGATATTTGCGAACAAAGAGAAAGGAATTTAACCCCTCGATTCATCAGACGTTCGTGCGGCAGTAACGCGAGACGAACCCCCTAAGAACGTCTGCGTGGGAGGCTAACAGGCTAACTATATCATCGAATACTGTATCTATCCGTGTTGATTTGGGGCCAATAACTCCATCCAATAAGTTTGTGTTCGTTCCAAACCGACTTCCAAATCTGTCCTCCAGAAGACCTGAAATGACTCGTCCCCTCCCCGCAAAAATCAGCTGCATTTAAGCGCGGATGGGAAACGCAAAGCGTTCTGGGAGCTCCGTCCGCCATTTTGTCTTTTTCGACATAGACGTGATTCATTTCTTGATTGGGCGTTGCCCTCACAGGCAGCCCAATAATAACACTCCCGCTCTGACACTCTCTCACATGAACTATACCGACGACTTTGACCGTAATGGTCTAGTGTAAAATGTTGTATTGGTTCTTAGAGCACCGCTTAAGAAAAGCCAATCAAAAACAGGGAAGTTAGAACCTTACCAGTAGGATCAGGAGGCCATGGAAATGGTCCTATTGCGTCTCTGGATTGTTAACAGGAAACGGTATGTCGTGAAGACTGAGGAGAATCTCTGCCACAATCTGTGTGATGATAGAAGAGAACATGAACAATACGCTGATGAGATAGTTGAGCGAAAAGCAACTTATTTAAGTTGTGAAAACGAGACCACAAAAGGAGAAAACCTGAGTCCCCGAACCAGGTTAACTAATAAATTTATACTGACTGCAGGTCATATCATTTGTTACAAGAATCAACGCTACCGTTTTCAGTGACTTTATATTTTCAAGCGAGCCTCAAGCTACTTATTTGATTAAAATGAATAAAAAGCCTCTTCACACAGCAATAATGGTAAAAGTTTTTTACGGCGGAAAGTTTTCACTAAGATTCCCATTATTTTAACAAAGTTTACCTCAAGGAGGATCTATCAGTAACCACTGTTTAAATAACATGCAGCCCCTGGAAGGTTTCGTTTATCCACCTTTATTGCCTCATTGAGGCACAGGTGTTCCAGCTGAAAAAAGTCATGCAACTCAGTCTACAATCCCACCTCCCAGGAAGTACAAAAATAGACTATTTATACAAGGAAACAGGACTTACAAATCTCTGCATAGTTAATAGAAGGGGTCGATCTTTTATATGATATAAAAATCATATAAAACAAACCTTCTCCATTTTGCAGGTTATTTACATCAATGATACAATTCCCGTGGATTTTATTCTAACTGTTTTCTTGTAGTTTTTTGCTAAATTTTGAGCGGTCTTCGTTGTTTAACGTTCATTCACAATTGTACAATAACTATATTAAAGAAATATTTATTTCGCTTGTAACTAGTAGTTGGCACGCGTTTTTAACGTTTGTTGTAAAATAAAATCCCTTTCAAAGAAAATACCTTATTCATCAACAAAATCTGATGACCCACGTGCTCCTGATTGTCTTCTGGTTCAGAAGACGATCTTCCATCTTCAGATTCGATCATTCCTTCCTCATCCTGCCACAAATCAAACACTTACACTAAACATCATCCACTTGTTATGATATTTTAGGACCACTATTTCAGTTTTCATGTGCACGAGGAGAGACAATTAACAAAAATAAGTCAATGAACGCCAATTTTATAACAGTCGAAATGTGACAGCAACCGTAGTCTTCTAACAGTTTGACTCTTTTCTCAAGTGTAGGCGAACAAATGAGAAGCAAGAAGCGAAACACAAAACATGTCTTTACACTGATCACGCTTACTATAAATCAGCAGGTGACTTAAGCCCAATATCTGCCTGAGTTTTGTGTATTTTTGATAGAAAAATGAAACTGTTTGTAGAAGACATCTAGAATATTGGGAAAAATAACGTTCACAGTCATACAATAAGACTAGAAAACTCAGTCATACTTAACTGAAGAAAATTCAAACGAATTGAGGGGTGTTTACATCCGATAAAACACGGAGGGGTTTTGGCTCCAGTTTTCTTCGAAATAATAAAAAGTATTGGAAACTCTCAAAAACACTCAGCTGTGCATTGTGGTTTAAACGTGATAAACAAAATCCTATTCGTTTATAAAATTTAACTTAAAAGAGACTAAAAAATACAGTCAATGAAGGAAAAAAAGTGTGCGTAAAGTAGCAAACTCACTCGCTCTTCCTCATCGTCATGCTCAGCTGATGAATCATCCTGCAACAAAACACAGAACAACATTAAAACACCACTCATTACAAAGAAAACTAATTTGAAGATCAAAGAATACATTTATAAATCACAGGAAATCGTTCATTGAGAAGTGTAAGGTTTTGAAGTTAATGTGTTAAGGTCTTCATGCCTTTATCCTTCATTACCTACATATTACGAACAGTTCTTTTTTTCCTTTTTTAAGACATAGCAAAAGACTGACGACCCACGACACTGATGAGCAAAATGAAAGTGCCGGTTACTTTGAATGCAATTCACACGTCCAATGGTCAAGGAAAGGTTTTCCTTGATTATTCTAGATGGACGGAAAAACAGAACTGCACGCGCAGTCAATGAAAGTTTCAACTTTTGCAGCAAATCACATGCAAAACATTAAATAAAATTAGGATTGAGGATTATCAGTGAACACTGATAGATCGGTCATAATAGGAAAGTATTTCCTTTATGAAAATGCTCTTAAAAGTAAAGCTCACATCTTTGACGAATTTGTCTCCCTTGTTCGTGACAAGATTAGAGTAGACAATTAACAATTTCATGTACGTCTGGCCGTGAAAAGGAATTTAAAACAAAATGGTCCACCTTTTATTCTGTGTTTAAGGTGTTTCGATACAGTTTTTCGGAGACCATACCGATGTTTTTCAATCGTCTTAAAAGTGATTTTGTCCTTGTCCGATCGCTACAAACTTTTCGCCAGTGATTGACTATGAATTGAAGTCTGTTAAAATGCAGTTTTTAGTAAAATCGATATCACTATGACAACAATAAACAAAAAAGTTTGAAATCAATAAATTCCAAATTTTGCGCGACGTAGACCTGCTACTGAAAATCCGTTACCAGGAACTTAAAGTGTGGTGTTTAGCAAATAACCTCCGCGAGAAGTAAAAAATTCTGTATGTTTGAATTCAAATAAAACGCAAATATATTTCAAGAATCAACACTACCGTTTTCAGTGAATTTTATCTTTCAGGCTACCCTCGCGCTACTTGTTTGACTAAAATTAATAAAAAGCCTCTTCCCACAGCAATAATGTTAAAAGTATTTTCCGTTAGAAAATTCTCACTAAGGTCGATCCCCATTATTTTCAACAAAGTTTACCTCAATGAGGATCTATCAATAAACACTGTTTAAATAAAATGCAGCCATTGGAAGGTTTCGCTTTTCCATCTTCATTACCTCGTTGAGGGACAGGTGTTCCAACTGAAACAAGTCACGCAACTCAGTCTACAATTCCACCTCCCAGGAAGTAAAAAAAGAGACTATTTACACAAGAAAACAGGACTTACAGACTGATCTCAGCATAGTTAATAGAGGGGGTCGATGTTTTATATGATATAAAAATCATATAAAACAAACCTTCTCCATTTTGCTGGTTATTTACATCAATGACACAACTCCCGTGGATTTTATTTTAATTGTTTTCTTGTAGTTTTTTTGCTAAATTTTGAGCGGTCTTCGTTGTTTAACGTTCATTCACAATTGTACAATAACTAAATTAAAGAAATATTTATTTCGCTTGTAACTAGTATTTGACGTTCAACATGGAACGGTTGGTACGCGTTTTTAACGTTTGTTATAAAGTAAAATCCCTTTCAAAGAAAATACCTTATTCACCCACACAAAATCTGATGACCCACCTGCTCCTGATTGTCTTCTGATTCGGAAGACGATCTTTCATCTTCAGATTCGATCATTTCTTCCTCATCCTGCCACAAATCAAACACTTACACTAAACATCATTCACTTGTTATGATATTTTAGGACCATGATTTCAGTTTTCATGTGCACGAGGAGAGACAAGTCAAAAAATAGGTCAACGAACGCCAATTTCATAACAGTCAAAATGTGACAGCAACCCTAGTCTTCTAACAGTTTGACTCTTTTCTCAAGTGTAGGCGTCCAAATGAGAAGCAAGAAGCGATACACAAAACATGTCTTTACACTGATCACGCTTACTATTAAATAGCTGGTGACTTGAGCCCAATATCTGCCTGAGTTTTGAGTCTTTTTGATAGAAAATGAAACTGTTTGTATAAGACATCTAGCATATTGAGAAAAATAACGTTTAAAGTCATACAATAAGACTAGAAAACTCAGTCATACTTAAATGAAGAATATTCAAACGAATTGAGAGGTGTTTACATCCGACATACACGGAGAGGTTTTGGCTCCGGTTTTCTCGGAAATAATAAAAAAACCCAACCCATGGACTAGTATTGGAAACTCTCAAAAACACTCAGCTGTGCATTGTGGATTAAACGTGATAAGCAAAATCCAATTCGCTTATAAAATTCAACTTAAAAGAGACTAAAAAATCCAGTCAATGAAGGAAACAAAGTGTGCGTAAAGTAGCAAACTCACTCACTCGCTTGCTCGCTTCCTCATCGTCGTGCTCAGCTGATGAATCATCCTGCAACAAAACACAAAACAACATTAAAACACCACTCATTACAAAAAACTAATTTGAAGATCAAAAAATACATTTATAAATCAAAGGGAATCCTTCATTGAGAAGTGTACGGTTTTGAAGTTATTCTGTTAAGATTCACATGCCTTTGTTATCCTTCATTACCTACATATTACGAACAGTTCCTTTTTTCCTTTTTAATGACATAGCAAAAGACTGACGACCCACGAGACTGACGAGCAAAATGACAGTGCCGGTTACTTTGAATGCAATTCACACGTCCAATGATCAAGGAAAGGATTTCCTTGATTATTCCAGAAGGACGGAAAAACAGAACTGCACGTGCAGTCCCCGAAAGTTTCAACTTTTGCAGTAAATCACATGCAAAACATTAAATAAAATCAAACGGAGTGAATTGAAATGAATTTAATAAAGAAGACTATGGCAAAACTTGCTTTCTTTTGACCTTATGCCTATGACCCACCTGCTCCTGGTCGTCCTCTAATTCAGATGATGCACCAGGAAAGAGGTCAGGAAACTCATCTTCCCAGTATTCATCTGATGGCCAGTCATCTTCAGGAAGGGGTTCGCCTTTATGATTCTGAAACAAACGTCGATAAAATAACAAACACATTTAATGCAAGTTTTTAAGGTGTACTCATGGTTTTGTTTCACTGACTGAAGACAAAGAAAGGTGAAGACTCCATTATCAATAAGTTTAAATTGTCTCCTTCAAGAAGATACACACATCGAACACCTCTATTAACCAACCACTCCACTATTTTCCAGTGGCTGACCGCTTACATGTAATAGGGGTTTGAAAGTACTTTTCCTAAGATTTCCTTATTCCACCTTTGACCGGCAGTAAAAACTTCATACACGTACTGACAGGTTATTCTAATGAGCTGAGGGGAGTTCAAATCCCTTGCTGAATTATTCAGTTCGCCGCAACCTTAAAAACCAGTCTAACGCAGAATAAGAATGACGAAAGTTGCATTCAAATTTCAAATTCTAAGCCACGAGCAAAACATGTGAATGCATCTAAATGACACTTACTATGCCATTCACCAGCGAAAAAACGGAATAAATAAAAACTTTACTTCTCTAGTAGACTGAAAAACTCTTTCAGGTAACTTGACGGGGGGGAAAATGGGGTGGGGAGGGAAAGGTAACCATATATACTGTATGTAGAATTAATGCACTGTCTACCTTTATAATGACTGTAAACAACTGATTGTTTGTCTTTTCTTTTCTATTATCAGGGGAAACTAAGTCTGAAACAAACAATCGATGTAGACTCCCACAAGTTTAAAAGGGGACAGAGACTTGCCGCCAAACATAGGCAGGATTACTCCAGCTGTGGTAGGATGACTCCAGTTCAGCGATGTTGCCGTGCTGCTCGACGGCTGATATGAGATCCTTCACCTGCTGTGGAGTCATCTTCACATCTTTAAGGAACAGATACTTCAGGTGAGGAGCACAGCTGAGATGTTTAATCAAGCTGTCGACTCCTGCACCCAGAAGAGGATTGTCTGACATGTCGAGCCACTCCAAGTTTGGAGCTTTTTTAAATAAACTGTCGATGAACTCCACGGCAGGTGATGATGTTAAATTGATACACTGGAGAGTTAATTCCTTCAGTTTGTGTGTTGGTTGAATGCTCCTCAGCAGAGACTCTGTTAACTCAGCATCAAACACTTCACCGTCTTCACCCACAACCAGTATATCGTGTGGAGCGGTGATAAACGGCATCATCTCAATCAGCTGTTCCACCTCTGACCTGTTCACATACTGAGCATCAATCCTCCGAACCCTGGAGAGACCATGACGCTTTGAACAACAGCTGCCGCTGCTGCTGCTCTCTTCACTTGACTCATCACCATTCATGTTTGTCTTCTTTGTTGTCTCTTGTTTACTTATTAGCGCCTTTATATCATGAGCAAGACAACCGGATCTATCTCTACTAATTTGTGTAAAATACAGGTGAGTGTTGTTTTCTTCTTTCTTTACGAAAAATTCATCAACTCGACACCATGTGAAGTTGCCTAAAAATTCTGATGCTTTCTTTTCTCCTGAACAACTTCCAATGAAAGCCTTTAATTGTTCAGATAAAATTGTTAGGTTTTTATAGTCTTCCTCTGTATAGTCTCGCTTTGTCTTGTACCCATGCTGATCGGTGAAAAAAACGTAATTTACGTTTACGGTAGTTTCAACTAACTTTTCTTTCACAAGATCATTTAGCTGGTCTGGTTCAATTAAAAGAACTCCTCTGAAAGAGGAAAGAAATGTAGGAAAGAGGTTTCTTTTTGTCTCAGCTGAACAGTAGAAAAACAACTCTGTGGAGAGTCTTAGAAAACTTCTTTGTTCTGCTGAAAAATCCTCCGCTGACGGTGCTTCGCTGTCGAGGGTGTACTTCGTGAGCCCTTCGTTCGCCGCCATTTTCATCAGGTGAATCACAATCTCGCGCGCGGCTTCTTCTGACAGCTCACCAGCAAATCTTAACACTTCGCACATCTTACGGATCTTTTCAACTGAGTCCAGCTTTGACAGGGAATTTGTAATTTCATTCTTTTTAGATAATATCAGTTCTTCTTTCAGGAACCTTCCCGCGAAGTATTCTTGAAAGGATTTATGAATGAAAAACACACCTTTTTCAGGATTCAAACTTGACATATTTAAAACCTGAAAAAGGCCCACTTCAATCAACCTCTCGATAAGAACGTAGTTAGGTAATTCACTTTTCGGGAAGTACAGGCAACCGTTGATGAGAGCTTCAAAGGCCAAGCGCCCTAATGCATATAATTCTTCCGAGTAATCCTCAATGTTAAACACCGATTCGGCAGACCGTTTTCGTTTTTCACGCACGTGATGAAACAAAGTCTTAACGAACTGATTGAAGATTTCTACGCGTTTCTTGGGTAGTTCTTTCCGATCTTTTTCTTTCCAGAGTAGACACAAAATCAGTAGAAGAAGTGGAACCTCCGCCAAGTCTTTAAGGTCTTGTTGCCACAAGTAGTTACGGAACTCTTGAACATCATTTTCATCTTTCAAAAATCTTCGAGCAAACTCTCGCTGGCGTTCATCGTCAAACCCGTTAATCTCAAATTGGGCATCACTAGGCAATCTCAACTTGTCAGTTGCCATTTGTCTCGAGGTGACTATAATACAGCAGTCACTCAGTTGATTTCTCTTCCAAATTTCATCAACAGGCGATTGTTTCCCTGCACAGGTGTACTCATCGTAGCCATCCAAGATGAGCAAGACCATTTCTTGATGATTAACAACGTAGTCGTACAGATCATCAACAGAAATTTTGCCATCATTGGCGAGCAGCTGAGAAGCCTTAAAAATGGACGGAACATCAAGGAGATTACAGACATCACGTAATCTTATCAGAAGGACAAGTTCAAAGGCTCCTATCGTTTCTTGATATTTCTGCTGGGACCAGTCAAAAGCGGCTTTCTTGGTAAAAACAGTCTTACCAATACCTGGATAACAACAAATGAACAACAATTAGAGAAATAATTTCTGATTCAACTACTTCTGAGATAAAACACATTAATAGATACAATCACTTATGAAACAAGAGCTTTCAGCCTGAAAATCATTGAAAATAAAGTTTATGAGAAGATTTTTAGCGCCAACCAAATACTAGCTTTTTAAAAATATCTGAATCATGAGACAGCAACTGACAAGCATAAGAACTGGAATTTGCTTATTTTCACACCGTGGAAAATGGTATGAGTGCCATTGAGTATGTATTTATTTTTGGACTCTAGGAAAATGATATTCCTGCCCATGGGAATTTCAACAGGGGCACCCATACGACCGAATGTTTCAAAATGGGTTAGAAGTGAATCAAATGGTTTTCTCCATGCTTGAGAAGAATGGTTGATTAATTTTGATCTGCCCTTAAAACTATTTATCTTCTCAGATGTCTTGTCATTTCCATTATATGAGCTGGATGTAGCTTCTGCTCGCAGGGTAAGGTAAACTTTGGTCGTCACGAAAGTTTTAGGTGGGTTTTTCACCTCATCCAAAACTGTTTGCTTCCCTGATGGGTCTCGTCGAAAGTTTGAGGACAATTGCCATATGTTCATAGAAATACAGAAATTTTCAGGAAACCTTTTTTGAACGGTAATGGCGATATCTTGGGGAAAAAAGTATAAAAAACGACCCCCGAAAGTTGGTGAGTAATAAGTAGAAAACTCAAAATATCTTAGACGTTGTTTATACCCTTCCGACAGCTTTAAAACAGGACATTTCTAGGCAATATTTGCTTCTCTGATCAGTTATTTTAATTTAAGAAAAGTTGTTGGGTGCCCCTGATTTTTAATTTAAGGCCACCTTTTTATGAGGCACTCAGGAACCTGCACAAATTTGACACCCCTCTGTAAAAGACCCAGTGAAACCGTACCCAGTGGTTTAATCCAGTCTACCCAGTGATAATTTAGCCTCCCCAATACCCGGGAAATAGTTTGTTTCTACCCGGCTGACTTTTTGCTTCCCCAGTCATTTTCTGTCACGACTTCTTCAAGACCAGTGTATTTCGTTGCTCATATTTGTTTAAAAGAAGCAAAGATATAAAACATTATTACCATTTAGAAAAAAAAATAGGGAGGGTACAAGTAGTCAGTCTCGCATAAAAAACTGTAAATCGTTTATATAAAGTGTTCAAAGTTTTCATGCCTGTAAAAATGTAAGACCTGCCACCCCTTCACGCTTTTATGGGAAATACACAACTAAGTTGAAAAACCCAGTGGAAAATAAACCAACCCAGTGACTTTTTCTCCGAGAACCCACTGAAGATATAGATTCCACTGGGTCTGTTACAGAGCGGTGTAATTTGGGCTTCAACAGTAAAATACACTCAACTGAAGAAGGATTATGAGGCTAGGATTGTTAGGCAAGAATCGTTTGAAATATCCCGGGGGAGGGGGGGTACTCCCTATGATGGCCTATACAGGGAGGCTCTGCCCAAAAGGGGTACCTTTTTCAGGCTTCAGGTATATGAAAGGGTAGGGATTTCACTAGTTGTAGTATGTAAACGGGTGGGGAAATCTGTCATTTGGGTCTGTAAAAGGGCCCAGGAGGGCTAACAGATAAATTTAAGGTTTTTAAAAGTCGAGAAAACATGCTATTTTTGTGACTGATTCCAAATTAAAGGATAGTGCATTTACAGCAGTTACAAGGGATGCAAAGTTCTAAACAAGGTATGTGAAAAATGGTATATAAAAGGGTAAGGGGTTGGACCTCAGGGCAGAGCCTCCCCATATAAACATTTCTTGAGTACCCCTCCAGGGAAATATCACTTGGTACTTTTTAAATTCCTTAGTTAATGCATTCAATTCTGCTTGCAGTGCTTGAACTAAAAAATTAAGAGTGCATACCTGGCCTACCATAAACCAAAAGTCGCCCTCCACCATTGAATATCTCTGTGTAGCTTCCAAGCTTGTTTTGTGTCACACCACTGGGTTTCCTGTGATCCTTAAGCCAAGTTAACTGTGTGTACATCTCATCAATATCAACAGCAGAGTTTTGGTCCCATGGAATGATTCTGACTTTGCTCTTTTCTCTATAAATCATTTTCAGACGTTTCTGGCACTTCTCAAGGCATTCAGAATCTGTTAAAAGATTTTAATTACATAAAAAGAACTTTTATAAGTTAAAAATAAATAAATAAAATGCTTTTGGCTTGAGAAAAATATGAAACAGTTAACTTACAGAATATGCACTAGCCTCCTGCACAGATGTTTGTAGGGTTTCGTTATGTGTACCTACCCCACGGGTTACGAAGCCCTAAGAAAGTCTTCCGGGAGGCTAAACATGTGCATAGTGCAAATAGCACAACTAGTTGATAAACGTCTCCTAGTTATGTTACAGTTTTATCAGGGTTGTCAGAAAGTTTTGAAGTATTTAAAAATGCTATCCATAAAGAAATGCCAAGCAGAGTAGCCGGTCGCTACTAACCAAGTACGCGACGATTTTCGCCAGCAGCCGGCTACTTTTGACAACCCCGCAGTATAGATAATTTAATTAATATATTACAACTACAATAATTTTGTATTTACTAATATTAGTTATTACATTAAAGGTTGTTGCTAATTAGTTACTTTAATGTTGGTATGAATATTTTTCCTTAATTATTCTGTTGTGTTATTAGGTGATACCTTTTTAGGATTCAATCTTAAGATTCCACAGTTGGGTTTGATTTGCAGTTTGGTGCAGGTGGGTAGGATTAGGGTTAGAGTTCAAATAACAGGACTTACATCACAACCGCACACCTCTGAAAATTAAACTGCCTGAGATTCAACTAATTTTTATCTCCATCTGGAATAGGTTCAAGTGAGTAGATATTCACTGGGACATGATACAAGATTTTAATAGTGGTTAGTGTCACATGGCAAGCTACACTGTACCAGGCCGCCCACACCTTTAGCAGGTACAGTTATTGCAGTTCTGACCTCTCATCTGGCTGTAACCTGTCTGTTCATGAAATCTCAGCATTGAATCCTCAAAATATTGAAATCATATTGAAATCAGTGTTACTATAACTTCAGTACGTTAGATAATATTCTTGGTATTATTGATTCCATAGAATGGTACCTGGTAACTTTTTCTTGGGCTCACTTGTAGGCTGCTTATTCATTGACTGGTCTGTGAAATTTCAGAAAAATATGAAATATTTGGTAAGGTACATTTTATCTGCAGTTAGCTGTTTTATGTCCCCATTACATAAGTGTGCTAGCCATCAGCAACCTATCACATTCGGTTTAGGACTCTAATGCGCACTAGCACCAACTGAATACCTCAGTTCCTTACCATTAAACAATAGGGAGAGGCACAGATCAACACTGGTTTGCACCATTTTACAAAAATCTGTCACATTTTTCATGATAAATATCAAGGCTCAAAATAACGGACAGCAGGTCGGTCGCCGGTCATGATGACCGGCCAAATATTTTTTAGCCCGGACAAACCCCGATTTTGGCCGGTCGAATTAATGAATATTATAATTTTTTTTTGCCCCTGGAATATCGAATTACGCTGGCAGTAGATCATTGTACAGCATTGTCGTTCAGGTTTTTGCCGGCAAGTTGGTGAAAAATTCATTCACACGTTGTTGAGTTCCTTTCCGCGATTTTCGCCCGTTTTATGTCCGTTTATATATACCTTGAGTATCATCGTACGGCGGTGTCGAAAGTCTCCAAGGTTCGTCCTATATCTGCTATGGGTCAAACTTGATCCTTTTCGTTGCCCGGCAAGTGATCGAAAGTCTCCTCCACAAAGAAGAATTTTGTCGCTAAATATTTGCGGCAAAGAAGTTGATTTGGCAAGAAATTTGTTCCACAAACAGCGTATTCGTCATCAGAAGTCAATAAATATACAGCAGAGCTTTTGTTTGGGTCGTATCGTGGACAGCTTATCAAGAAGTAGGATTTTAAGCGCCGAGATAGGCGACGTTCGTTCTCGATTAGCTTAGTTTTTATCAGACAATTCTGGAATCGAGTCTGCAAACGAGATCATGTTCGACATAAAGAAATAATTATAATAAATCGATGCGCTGAAATTTATTCTCACAGAAACAGTACAGGACGAGCGATCCTTTAGTTTTCTAAAACATAACGGATTATTGTTAGCGTATGTTTTCCCAAAGAAGGTCGCATTACTGATCACAGCAAAGCAGAACGTTTTTCTTTAAAGGGTTTAGTGCAAAGCAGCAAAAAAAGCCAAAGAAAGCAGCGAATTACAGCGTTATAGAGCAAAACGCATTAAGCGACAAGCATCCAAAAATGACCGGTCAAAATGACCGGCCAGACGAGAGTTTGACCGGTCAAGCCCACGATCAGGCCGGACATTGTCCGTCGACCGGCCGTTATTTTGAGCCCTGAATATAGTTCAAAAAACTTTCCAATTAAAAGTCGTAATCTGGAAAATGGTTTAGACAAATTTTATTTTTCCAATTTACTGGCATTAGCAACTCTATCCTGCCTCAAGAGAGAAGCATGGAACTGGCCAATATCCTGTCTGAATTACTCAGAAACCCAGGAAAGGGGACTTTGGGAGATTAAATCCAGAAAACTTCTTGGGGGAGCATCTTTCTGGAAATTCCTAGAAGCTTTTGCCTTCAGCGCTCATTTAGGAAATTGGTCAATATTTATCCTAGATCCTCTCCTGATAATTCCTTATCATAAGTCATTTTTCATTCGTCAATTTTTCACTTCCCTGACTAATTGTACAGGCCAAACTTAACCAGAAAAGATCTTTTCCTTTTTCCAATTGTGCTGCTAAAAGCCTTGTTTTCTTGGCCCATGCTGTAAATTATCAATCCTCATTTTCCCCTGAGCACAAAGAGTGTGTAGACCTCAAACTCTGCTCAAAAGAGAATGTGGAAGGGAGCTGTCAGGACTTATAAATGGGACATATCTTATACCCTCAACTAAATTGACTGACAAAATAATCTGGGTTTCTGGGTGGGAACATAACACAATTTTTATTCCAATTTTTTTGTCTGAGTTGGTAACCTGGTGTATGTGGGTTTTTTTTATCTCCTTCAAGCAGTTTTTCAGGCACAAGCATCAGAAATTAAAACTTCAAGAATCATTTTCTTGCAAAAATTGTAAATTCCTCAGATATGGTTAGGAAGGCAACTGTCATTGCTACACTCACAGTCAACATTCACTTGAAAAACTGTTTAACAGTATCTTCTATTCAATGTGCATGCCAGTACATGTACTTTTAATTAAAGTACTTGACAGCAATACTATAGCGCAAAGGGTCACTAGAAATTTTGTGGCAGTCCATGTATTCAATAACTTATTGATAATATATTCACGAATAATGTAAGGTGTAAACATTTCAATGGTATTGTTATTAATGATATTTCTGACCATCTACCGGTTTTTGTTTATGAAGTGGATGAGACAGAAATAGCGTCGAAAAATAGCCAAACTAAATATCTCACTAAAAGAGATTTTTCAGAAAGAAATAAGAGCAATTTTCGGCTCTCTCTTTCTCGTGTTAATTGGAATTTACGTTTCGATGAAAGCGATACTAATGAATGTTATAATAGTTTTGTGAGTGAGTATGTTCGATTATACAATGAAAGCTTTCCATTAAAAACGATAAAACTTAAAACAAAGAAAGTAATGCGCTCCCCTTGGATAACGCAATCTCTGCTTGTTTCTATCAGGAAAAAAGATAAACTCTATAAGCAGTTCATTAATTCTAGGGACTCAACTACTGAGTTAAAATACAAACGCTATCGGAACAAACTGAATCATCTTATAAAAATTGCTAAACGAAAGTACTATGATACAAAATTTGAGAAGGCTAAAAATAACCTGAAAGAAACTTGGAAACTAATCAATGATGTAATCAACAAACCGAGCAGAAAAGCAGCTCTGCCAAATTCCTTTTTCTCTGATGGAAAACTGTTAAATGATCCACAAGAAATAGCTAACTGCTTTTGTAAGTTCTTCACCAACATAGGTCCGAATTTAGCAAGGAAAATTCCAGACACACAAGTATCTTTTCGTAGTTTTCTTGGCGTTTCTGTTAATGAGTCGCTTATCTTAAATCCAACTAATATTTCGGAACTAAATCAAATATGCAACTCTTTTAAATCTGGAAAGTCGCCTGGATATGATAACGTTTCAATGGATATAATAAAAAGCACCTTTGATCTCATTTCTCAGCCTTTGGCCAATGTAATCAATTTGTCTCTTATTAAAGGAGTATTCCCTGATGAATTGAAAATTGCTAAACTGATTCCGGTATTTAAAGCTGGTGATTCCCAGTATTTCACTAACTACCGTCCAATTTCGCTTCTTTCTAATTTTTCTAAATTCTTTGAAAGAGTTATGCACAATCGTATTACAAATTTTTTAGATCGTTTAGATATCTTATACTGTTGCCAATTTGGATTTCGTAAAAAATATTCTACAGCGCTGTCTTTAATTCATCTTATTAATAAAATTGCAACTGCTATTGACAGAAGCGAATATACAGTTGGCATATTCTTAGACTTATCAAAAGCATTTGATACTTTAGACCATCAAATACTCTTGTCTAAGCTTGAGCATTATGGGATTCATGGGCTAGCACTTAGCTGGTTGAAAAGCTATTTGTCAAATCGCGTGCAGTTCGTCCAGTACAAAGAGACTTGTTCTATTAGGCTGACTCTGAGCTGTGGAGTCCCTCAAGGTTCTATATTAGGACCATTATTGTTTGTTTTGTATATCAATGACCTCCCTTGTGCTACTCGTCTTGCTGAAACTATGCTTTTTGCAGATGATACTAGTGTGTTTTATTCTAATCCCGATTTAAATTGTGCTATTTCTGCCGTAAATAATGATTTATCTCAAATTGATCTTTTATGAAAGCAAATAAGCTCTCTGTTAACATAACGAAAACTAATTATATCATTTTTGCAGCAAGGCAAAAACCAGTCGGCTTCCCAATAAATCCTGTCTTGTACGATGAGGTTTTATTAAAACAAGTAAAGGTAGTTAAATTTTTAGGGTTTTTATCGACGAGCATCTAACGTGGAAGCCGCATATTACTTATATATGTAAGAAAATTTCAAAATCTATTGGCGTCATGTTTAGGTCTCGTTTCTTTCTTTCTGAAACAACAAAAAAAAGTCTCTTTATTATACCTTAATTTATCCTTATTTAACATATTGTACCACAGTTTGGTCCTCCACTTATGTAACAAACCTTAATAGAATTTTTCTTCTACAAAAGCGAGCAGTACGAATTATTACAAATGCAGATTTTCGCGCGCACTCTGAACCATTATTTTTCCGTTTAAAGATTTTGGACATATACAACATTAATTCATTCTATACTGCGCAATTTATGTTTTCATATTATCATCAATTACTGCCACCGCTTTTTTTTCGAACCTTTTTGTTACTAGTAGCAATATTCATAATTATAATACTAGAAGTTCCTCGCATTTCCGTTCTCATGCCTGCCGAACTAACACCAAACAATTTTTCTATTTTGTTCCAAGGCCCAAAATTTGGAATTCTTTACCAAACTCAGTCACTTCGATTTTTACATTGCAATCGTTTAAAACGAAAGTTTTTGATTTTCTACTATATCGATAATGCGTCTTGTACTGTCCGTTGTTGTGTGTTGTTATAGTTCTATTGCTTAATATTATTGTAACGAGGGGGCCTCCTCGTACAAGCCTTGTGGTTTTCTGAGGTCCCCTCGCCACATCTTTGTATAATGTAATGCTTGTGTAATCTTTATTGTGGGAAAATAATAAATAAATAAATAAATAAATAAAACTTTTTTCACTAAAACTGCAACCATTTTAGATGTTCATAAATAAAAATAGAATTACCTGAACAGAAAATTTGTCACTATTAATAAATATCTAAGAACAGGGATCGATGTGAAATACCTTCATAGTGAGGCCATTCTTTAAATACAGCTGGATCATTTAACATGTTGAACACAAGAGAAGCTGCCATGATGGAAGAAAATGACTTCCAGGACTCACTAGGAGCATTGCCATCATTAGAAAAATGTGATATCCCTTTAACAATCACCCATTCAATATTTACATCTTGGGCTGCAGCAAACAGTCCTATTAAACAGAACAATTACAAAAACAAATCAGAACAAAAATAGTAAGTGAATTTTCTCAGGTCTCAGAGGTCTAAGGCATCCAGACACCAAATAACAAGAAAGAAAAATCGCTCACTGCTTCTAGGTAAGATAAAGAATACCATAAGCTTAACTTTATCTTTTACAAGCAAAAATTTGTCCTCTGAGAGGAAATGTGCTTACTGGCAATGAAAAGTTTGTACAGTAAAAAAGGACAATTAACCTTGCACGAGTTTTTCAGGTGGCAGACATTAATATGTTGCTTATTGACTAATGTTTACATTCACACGTACTGTGTGCCTTTAATTGCAACTTAGAATCAACACAAGCAATCTCGAAAACTCTATTTGGGTGTCACCCAAATAATAATGCTAATGTGACTGACCTGCATGAGTAAGGGAGGACGCGTACAGAACAAACAAAAGGCCATGCAATTAACGAAAGAGAAATGTGATAAAAACACTACGAATACAATGTATGAGCAAAGCGGTAAAAAGGGAAAACAAAAGGGCAATACAATAATTTAATATAGAGAAAAATTAAAGTTAATTAGTTAGTAATATATTAAAATGTTACCTTCCCCTTCCTTTTCAGCTGCTTTCATGCGACGTTTTTTTGCATCGACTGGATCATTTATGCCACTGAATATTTCACTGTCAGAATGTACTTTTACTTCCTCCTCAGCTGTTGTTGGTGGATCCCAGCCTTCAGATGAAAACAAGATAAGTTTGCCAATATTCCTTGTTACTGGGGTTGAGAATTCTTCAGTTGTAAGCTTAGAGGATACCACTACATCACCAAGCTTGGTGTCTTGGGGGTTCAAACCCCTGCAATACCCAACAGTAAAAACAGCCTTGGGTCTCAACTGAGCAACTGCATTCTTGACAGTGACTAGAGAGCCACTTGGACCAGAAGAACCTTTAGAACATCTCATCAGAGCAACTTTCAGCACCTCCTCTCCACTTTCACCAATGGTTCCAAAGTACACATATCCAAGGTTATTGTGGTAGCTTTTAAAGGAATTATTCAAGTATGCATAACAGGACAGGAACTCGCAATCCTCCACTGTCAACAGAAGAATGTCAACTGGAAGCTGAACATCACTCCAAGGTTTTGACTTTTTTGAAAGATTTCTCATTTTAGGTACTTCAATACTAAGAGGAGGGGGAGCATGATTTCTTCCTGTCTGACAAGAAGGACTTTCTTTTCTTTTAAGTTCTTGATGCTGCGCCATCGAGTCTTAAATGTGTTCCTAGAAAGTGGGTAAATTTAAAAGAAGAACACAAACATCATTTTTCTTAAGCTGTTTGAATATAAGAGGAAGGAACTAATAGCATACTTTTTAAGTCTCAATGCAAGGCCGGTAACAAAGATCAGTTTTCTCCTAGCAATATCCATGCATCATCAAGAGAAAAAGTTGCAAGAATAATTGATTAAAGAATCACCAAAAGAGGAAATAAAAAATCCTCTCAACTTTTCCTTTTAGGAAAAATATGAAAGTCATTTGGAGAATTTGTATGCGGATGGATATACATGCAGTTTCAGGGGCGGATCCAGGATTTTTTTTAGGAGGGGGTGCACTCATCTCTTGCTCTACTTCAACACCAATAAACCACATAGTTTTTCTTTTGCAGAATACCAGTTGTATTAGAAAACTGCAGGTCATCTAAGGTGGGGGGGGGTGCGCACCCCCTGCACCCTCCCCCTAGATCCGCCCCTGAGTTTGGTAATAAACTTGAACTCAAACAACTTGAATTAGCAAGAGTTTTTGCCTAGTCCCTAGGCCTCTTTGTTCTGCAAGGCCAGAGTGCTTCGGGTCACATGGTCTAAGTGAAAATGTTTCCCCCCTGTTCGCCTTGCATACGTCACCTAAGTGAATTGACCGAGAGGGATTTTTGGGAAAATGCCATACAGGGACTAGGCAACAAGGGTTACAAAATTCAATTTTTAGTCTTAAAAATTGATAGAACTTTACTGATTTTTCAGCACTAATTCTTGCAGTGTAGTCTCGTACGGTGCCACTGCAGTGCAAGTTTAACTTTTTTAGCAGAGATGGTAACATGATTAAGCACTTTTTATGATAACATACATGATCTGTTTGTTGCACCAATTATAATCAAAATACTGCTGTTAAGTGTTAACCAGTGTGAGATAGAACTTTTTTTTATTGATTATAAAAAAAGAAAAAAAATGGAATGACATCCAAGTAGAGTTACAAGAACCAGTATTTGAGTTATGGGGGTAAGTGCAGTGACTTTTTGGTCAAAGAAAAGGAAATTTAGTTTGAGTTAGCGGGGAATTCAAGTTATCAGAGCGCGAGTTATTACCAAGTAAAAATGACTGAAAATTAAGCGGGTTAATTAAAATCCAAGGGAAATTGGACTTAGTTTGAGTTAGCGGGGAGTTCAAGTTATCCAAGTTATCAGGGTTCCACTTTATTCATTACAACTTCTTGTAACTAGACAACCATTACAAAATTTATCTGAATTACCTGGACTTTTAAAGGTTTCAGACTTCAGTAGTACATGATCATAATGATGTATTGATTGACTGACATAAAAGTCTGAAATAATAAAGTAAAAAAGAGCATGTCAACCTACATGAACATTATGCCGAGCTATTCTTGCTAGACTTGCTACCAAGTACTCAACTCTTTTAATTTTAATTTAGTTGAATAGATATTGCACTGAAGAAGGTACATTTAAGTCATGAGATTTGAATAAGACACACTTGGCATCAGCCTGATTACAAAGAAGAGGGACATTAACACTGGTTGTATAACCAGTGTTGTTACCAGGATTTTGTACACTGAGGTCCACAGGATGCACAGAGAAACTAAAAACGGGGTCATGACGGAGAAAAGCTGGTCACAATTTTTAGATACAGTTAAAGGGGGGCATCAGTTGAGACGACCGATGCGGTTCTAAATCTCAAAGGAAGGCGTCACATTGGGATGCAGGACTAGTACAGCATCACAGTAGTTTTTTGGCACAAGAGATTTCATAATACCATGTGTCTAGTACCTAGGATATAGTGAATACCACGACTGTAATCTGGGTTACAGACAGACACAATTCTAGTTTAGTCACATTCTCACTTGGCATTGCAGAAGTTACATTCACTGTTATAGCACTAGCCATCATTTCTGGGAACGGGTGGTACAAATCCCTTTACCCCTCATTCCTGATTCCCCACTCTGCCCAGTTATTGCTATCCAGAGGGCGTTCTCATTTGTCCCTAATGTTCCCCCCCCCCCACTCCCAAGCCTTCATGTGGCAAGACGCTGCTTCCCTTTGCTTCAAGATTTTTACTTATTCTAAGTTTTTGCAATGCCTGCGGAGTGCCCTCCACGCTCTTGGTCTGCCAGCTAGAGATTATACTTGCCACTCCTTTCGGCAGGGTGGCGCATCCTTTGCCTTTCAGGCAGGATTACCAGTCGGGCTCATTAAGATTCTTAGGGACTTAATGTTTTCACAGGTGTGAGTCTTAGATAATGATGGGTGTTTATTAAAGACGCCATAACCGATTAAGTTTTGCCTTATATATTATACGGAAATGTACGCATGTGTACATATGCTTACATATGTCTTGTAAAGGGTTTTATCCTTCTTTGCACCCTTAATTTGGGACCCCTTGGGCTAATATTATTATAGTGCCGCAATTCCTGAAAAAGTGTGGTAATGCCGCAATACCGTGGTCTGGTAAGAACACTGTGCTACTGTTTATACACATGTCAGTCAGTTGGTGGAAGCTTTATGACAAAAGTTGTCAAGATGAAATCAACAAACTGACTTGTAGCTGGTACGTTTCCATGATGAGAGTTCACAGGGATGTTGAAAAACCAGCATTGGACTGGATTGGACTGGACTGTGGAAACCTGGATTAGATCGTTCTAGCTCAGAGATGTATCGTCTATACATACCCACACATTAATAGCAGAGGTCAACAGGAAGATCAACTTACTTTCATTGACCAGTATGCACACAGCATATTATAATCTTGGGTTATCACAAGGTGTCATCCTTAGTCTCAAATGAGAGCTGGTCTACAAAATTGATAAAATATCGTGGACTTAAAGCCTTTTTATGTAAACAGCTAAATAAATTAATAATACTTATGGTATTGTTGTGTCCTCTATACAGTATAGTATATGCTTTCTTTGAAAAGCACAATAATCAATTATGGCCTTGGTGAGCATTTGCCAGCACATGCATGAGCAATTCATATTTTTGGCTAGCACAAGCTGAAATCAATGGCGCTAAAACTTGAATTGCAAGCAGTAATAAGCACTTTATAATTTTTCAGACAATGGCAATCCTTTTCTTCTAATCTTAAATGCCTAAAACCAACAAATAATATGATTATTTTATTATCATTTATAAAAAATTAACTTCTCCTAGACCGGACCTCTCTCATGTTGATTCTAGACACAATGATAAATCCTTCCATCAAAGTCAATTTCACACATTACCATGATGGAGAAGAGGCCAGCCGGTTTGCACAAACCAGTAACAAAATAATAGGCTCAAGCTTAGCTTGATATGGCTTGTATAGAGCCTGTTTAAATGGAGGTCTAAAGAACCCCAGGTAGGTGAGGTAACCTGTTTTAAACAGGTGGGGTAACCTGCCTGTCCATATACCAGTAATCTCTCATTTTAATTTGATCACATTTACATGCATGATAGGTGGGGTGATCCGTCACATGTCTATACCTAACCTATCTGGGGTCCCCCACCTCCATGTAAAAAGGCCTTTACGCATGTTCAAACTTAACACATTACAATAATTTATTCTGTATAAGTAATATATGATGCTTTATATTAGTAAAAGAGCGAATGCTCCTAGCGTATATATTTAAAAATCATTTGATTTTCTCAAAGTAAAGGCTGAGTGATTTTGGAGAAAAATCAGAATTTGACCGTCCAAGAGTGAAACAAATTTTACATCAAGTTATTTGTACACCGAAAAATAGCAATCATGTTCGATCACAGTAGATTAGGCCTGGAAAACAAATAGACCTATTCGTGTATTGTATTTGCATTAGCTGTAGCATCATAATGTGGCATTCACCAGTCTCTCCAACATTGCTCCGTTAGAGAGACTATGGATAATTGGACAACCCCGAAATATAATTTTAAGAAACACATGCGCAACGATAGTCCTTGGTGGCAGCCAATTTACACGTTGCATTCCTCTGTCTAAAAGAGAGGCCAAAATAAAAATCAGGCCGGATTTTTTGTGTTCGACAAGTTTAGTTTACTAGTAAATCTTGGCGACGAATCTGGTGGCGTGTAAACCAGCCTTTTAAACATACTTTTTCTCATCACGTCTCAGGTAAACAGTACACAGACCTCGGACAGAATTTGTTCTTTTTTGCCCTATTTAAACCTATAATTCTGCAGTTTTTCACAATTTTGCAAGAGAATTTGCACTCATTCAATATCCACGACGATCAAAGCACGCGCTTCCTTTGCACAACAAAATTATAGCATTGAATTATAAAACGTTTTCTGTTAGAAAAATCTGGTCCTATGTGATATGCGGGAAGTAATTATGGGCTTTTAATGAAAACGATTAAAAAAATTCCCCAAATCACTTTTCGGCCAGCCGGACGGGTTCTCACTTTTGACAGGCACCAAATTTGCAGTGCGATTAATAGAGTTACCATTTACGCTTCAACATGATAGAGAAATTGTTATGTTTAGGTTTTATTTCCCTTTATTCATTAAACTGTGTATGATTTTGTTTTATTATATACATACTGAGAAATACTCACCAAAAAGCTATGTCGTAAATTGTCGTACGCAAATTAGTTCTAGCCAATCAGAGGAGCGAACGATGGTTTTCACACGTGAAAAAAATGATACGTCCAATCAGAATCGCGAACGATGTTTTTTCACGTGTGAGAAAAATGATACGTCCAATCAGAAGCCACAGAGGTGTGTGAGTTTCGCGCCAAAATTCCCGCCTTTAATTGCAGCTTGCAGCGCCGCTTCGCACACATTCAACGAGAAAAGTTTTACTCAAAGAGTTTTTCTCGCTAAAAAAGTGAAAAACATTTCGGAAATGGAGTGGAATAGTTTCGTTTGTTTCACTGTCGCTGAAAAAAAAGGAAGAGAGCCGGCGAAACAACAACGGAAAGGGAAAAACAGAACGAGACGTAAGCTTTTGTTGTGCTTTTTGTCGGAGCTACTTTGCCTTTCATTTTAGCTTAAGCTTTTTATATTCAAATCG